CTACATTTGTGAAAATCCATTTTCAATTACACAAATAAATAAAATTAAACAGTATGCTCAGTGAAAGGAATCTTGAATGAATTTCAAACCTCACATCCTGACACAACGTACAAAATCAGGTATTAAAACCCAAATGCAAAAAAAATGAAAAAGGGGAAAAGGTTTCTAATTCTAAATCAAAGGAGTAATTGCTTTAGGACAAGTGTTTTTAATTTCAATTTGTTTATCAATTTTTTAGTTTTATGTGCTTGAACTACCATTTAATAATAAAGACAAAGTTGAATCATATTTCTGACAATGATTTTTCTTATACCTGGGCTTCTCCAAGTATCCCCTTCCCTCCTTGGCTTTTGAGTTTGATTCCTAGGGTTAAGGACTGTATTCCTCAGGGTCTGCTTAATGTCTTCTCAACAATGGCAACAGCTTGCGTTCACCCAAGCCTAATTTTTCTCAGATATTCCCTATGTTAAATCATAGACCATTATTTGTCTGCATCAGTTATGGATTGAATTCACTACTTATAATAGAAACGCCAAATGATAGCATTTAAAGTAGAGATATAGTCCAGAGCCTGGATAAGCCAGGTAGCCCCTGGTGCCATCAGGGCCCAGGCACCTTACTTCTTCTGCTAGCTTACCATCTCTGACATCTCTCCATCACCACCCATCAGACCTGAAGTGTCACAACTACTCCCTCACTTAGCTTCATAATTTGAATATCTTAGCTCAAATTTCTATCAATGACTTTTAGAAAAAAACAAATCTATTCCTAACACTCCCTTAAACAAATAAATAAAATCCCTCTATTGCTTGTCCTCTGTTGTTATGGGCTAAAGTCAAAAGTCCTTAGTTTAAAACATAGAGTTCTTTGTAACCTAGTCTTCCTTGCAGTGCCCTTTGCTCCATAAACCCTGATCTCCTCACTGTTCTCTAGTTAGCTTGCTGATGTCAGTCCTTGGTACCTTGAACAGCACTTGTTGTGTGAATATGCTAATTTATCCCTTCCTTTATCAATCCTAAATATGTTGAGAAATAGAAATTGGAGCCAACTGTGGGTTAAAATATCTATATCTAATTTAATTTTTTGGTGCTAGAAAAGCTAGATTGGTCCTACAGTGAGAATCGGATCACTTCCCCACTCCCAAACCAAGTCTAGATATTAGAACTTAAATATGAGAAAAGTCAGAGTTTACAGAGCCAACTGTAACCCAAATTATTATCATTCAGTTGGATTTCTGAACAGAACTGAAAAATCCTAACAGTGCAGTGAGTGACGTAACTTATAAGATATTGGCCTTTCAGAATTAATATATAGCTCCACAATGTCAGTAGGAACCTATGCTCCTAAATATGGCTAGCACTTGACTTTTATCCTTAAAGTCACCTTTTGGTCCAAGGTAGCTCTCTGTGCTCCAGTTATTTCATTTGCATTCCCAGCAGGAGGACAAGAATTGTAAGGAGCCTTCTCAAAAATCCTCTTGCCATGTGATTTGCCAGATTCTACCTAGCTTTAAAGGAGGCAAAGAAACATAGTTTTAGTCTGAGCAGTAATATGCCCACCCTAAACTTTGATTCTGGTACTAAGGATGAAGGGAGTACGGGGACAGATGTTCTCATGGGCATCTGTGGTCTGCCACAGTCAGATAACTACACAGTCTTGGCCCTGTCAAGCTCAGAAAGCCTCAGGAATGGGACCCAGCATAGCAGCAATGAGAGAGAATGAGCCCAGAGAAAGCCAAGAAGGGGCTGAATGCCCAGGGCCAGTGTTCTTTTCTCAAACTGACCAATTATGTGATCTCACTGCTCCTGCAGAGAGGAATACATACAGGTAGTAAGAAGGACCAAAATATTTTTGGAATGTTTTCCCTCCTTGGGAGTGGAGCAGAAACTCACTGATGGAATTGAGGGCAGGGAGCAGCATTTATCAAGACTGTACCTTTACCAGGCTCTCTCTTCTGCCTGGCCAACACTGTCTTACCAAACACTTCTACCTACTAAGTACAAGGGGTCATATTCTCTAACTTTAAGTTTATATGTCATCTTTGGCACCTTTCATGACACAACTGAATACCAGCATATTCGGACTAAAAAGACAAAATTTCACATGCTGTTAGAACTCTCACTTTTTATGCCTGTTTCTTATCCTGTGCAGTTTTTGAGGACAGGAAGCTCGATTTATTTTTCTTTGTATTTAAGTTCCTCAAATGGCACCTGATGTATAAGAAGCTTTTGCATGTTTACTGCAATACTGGAGCTCGCCTCCTTTCCTAGTTTCCCTACTTTACAGATAGGAAACTGAGATCTTGAGACGGTGAATGGTTTAGTAAATACTAACAACAGTGGACATATATGTGCTTTGAAACCTTATTGAGCTCTAGGCACATTCATTAACTGTTTTATCAGCCTGGTAAGATAGATGTCATGAACCTCATTTCACACTGAGATTAATTGGTCAAGTCTTCCAAGAGAGGGAGTGGCACAGCTGGGGTTTTGAGCCTAGTGGCTGAACCTCTGTCTTTTCTTACTTTGATCTTTGAGTCAGCATGAATTAGGGATGTACCAGAACCAGGGTATTCTCACTTTATGCCTTCCAAAGGTATTCACATCTATTCCCTTTCCTTCTCCACTTTGTAGTAATGCAAAAATCATTTCCTAGTGTTATTAGGACCAGGCATGCTTGTTGTGGATACGTGTGACTTCAAGGGCAGCACCAATAATGCTGCACTTCTGCCTAACCCCAGCCCTACTTTTTTTTTGGTGGTGGTATTGGGGTTTGAACTTAGGGCTTTGCACTTGCTAGGCAGATGCTCTCCCACTTGAGTCACACTCCCAGTTCCCATGCTAACACTCTTTTTTGAGGTTCTGGGGTTTGAACTCAGGGCCTTCACCTTGAGCCACTCCACCAGCCCCTTTTTGTGACTGTTTTTTTTCAAGACACAGTCTCTCAAACTATTTACCTGGGCTGACTTCAAACTGCGATCCTCCTGATCTCTGCCTCCTTAGGAGCTAGGACCACAGGCGTGAGCCACCAGTGACCAGCCCCATCCTAATACTCTTGCCTATGTTGCCAAGAACTACATAGAAACAATGATTGGAAAGCAAATCAAAAAGCTAATCTGCCCAAGCTAAAATATCTTGGTATTTTCCCCAAGGAATTTAATGGTAAAATGTTAACCCTTATCAGAAAGGAACACCCCAGAAAAACACCACCAGTGAGCATATGACTCTTAAAGCTTAAAGCCAGTTAAGGAAAGTGAGATGCCAGCTTATCTTAACTCTTGTTATAGCAGAAAAAGTAAGACTTCACATATTTGGGGTTGGTTAATTTGTTTGGCTCAGAAGGAGAAAATGAAAATGAATGGCCCATCAAAAGGAGACAGGATAAAATTCAGTGTCATCCAGCCACTCCCCTTCAAGAGAAGGCTCATGTGTTTCCTTAATTCAACACTTCTGACAGAAAATTGCACATTCATCACACAAGGTTTCTTCCCAAATGGACAGCCACACTTCAGCAGTTATGAGAGAATGAGATATTGAACTATAAATATTTCCTCTGCTCCAGGGACTTCTAATTCTTGTCATCCTCAAACAGAAGGTTCATAGAGTATTTTCATCACATGGTGGTGGGCTTTGCCCTGATTTCTTGAAACCAAGTCCTTTCGATCAGAGAGCTTGAACATCTGCTTTCCTGGGCTCTAATTAGTAGTCAGGTGGCATTATAGGATCCAACAACAAGTGGAGGGAAAGAGAAAGAGGAAAACAAAGCAGGGATGTTATGGAAGCCATCACTCTATGTGATAAGGCCATTTAATTGTATGTGAAAATGGGAGCCCAGGGTGATTTGCATATTGAGTGCTTTAAACACAGTAAGAAATACATATGCATTGCAACATTGTGCATATGCGTAAACACACACACACACACACACACAACACACACACAACACAGTCAGGCTCCTGTTCTCATTTGAACCCCCAAAAGCATTTTGAAAAACTGCATACCCCATCACACATTTAAGGTTGCCCTCTAATTTTTTTCTCCTTAATTTTAAATACTTACAAAGAATGTAATTTCTAGTTTGTTGTAAATATACTTTAAATTTACATCTATGAAAATTTGGGGACTGCAGTCTTAGTTCAAATTCATGGAAAATGTCTATTACATAACCTAATTGCCAAAGCCAGTCCTCACTGTCTCACCCTTCAAGCTAATCAGACTTAACTCCCCGTCACAAAAAGTCAGTCTTCATTTTACAATTCAGATAAACATAATAAGGCACAATACTCCTCCCCCTGACATCCACCTTACTTCTAAATTCCCATTCTAAGACCCAGAGAGAGAGAGAGAGAGAGAGAGAGAGAGAGAGAGAGAGAGACAGAGGGAGGAGAGGAGGGTGGTAAATGCCTTGCTTTGAGTTTGCCTGCTTAAAATAAGACCCTGCTTTCAAGAACCCTTCTCATAAGAGCAAGATTTCCCCCAAATTATCCCTCGATTTAGCAGCTGGGAGTCTTCACACCCCAGGGCCCAGCACCTTCAAAGGTTTGAAATAGATAAGAGATGTGTCTTTGATTTGTAGTGTGACAAAGAACCATTGTGGAAGAGGAGGTGAGAAGGTGGAAGTGGCAAGTCTCAGAGCCCTGGCAGTATGTCGGCTAAGGCAGTCTGGGGAAGAGGTGTATGTGCTACTTACAGATCTGAAAACACATTCCCCTAAAATAATGACTTGAACCTCCGGGAACCTCTGCAAGTAGCTTTAGGTACTGGCAACCACAGTTGCTAAGCCTTTTGGTGCAGATATAGTACCAACACTGGTTGGTTGAAATATGAATATGATAGAAATAAAGCCCTTAGTGCACGGCTGGTATACTATGAGCATCTACCAGGTGTTCACTGTTATTGCTGTTACCCTTGCTATTTGACCCCTCAACTGGCCAGCAATGTCACTTCTCAATGAGTTAAATAACCCTCAGGCCAAGTCCTAACACATTGTTTATATTTTAGGCACCAGTTTTCAGGCCTCGGGATACAATTTCAACACCTATGACTGGAGGAGTTCAAAACAGAGAGGGAGCTTGTCCCCAGTGCCCAAGCCTCGAAGCCAGACTTACCCAGATGTGGGGCTGAGTAATGAAGACTGGGAGCGGTCCACAGCCAGTGGGTAAGGTTTTCATTCAGTGCTGCCCCAGCCAAGTTGACTCTGCATTCATTTGGGCAGGATTTAAACTTCTCTACTCCCATGGCACCCATTGTTAGCATTGGCTTCTTGAAGTCATCGTAATTATCATGGTACACTTCTAAAACTCGTGCCTAACTAGTGGTGGTCTTGCACCACCACACAGCAGGGCAAGGATTAGGTTCCCCAGAATGAAACCAGTGGTAACACTGGGGGACAAGGGAGGAGGAGCCAACTTCTTAAACTATGTCCTTACTCCGTGGCGACCAGCAACTCTTTTCTTTTTAAAAAGCAGTTTCACATTAAATTAGATGTTTTATGAAAAGATAACTCATGGCCGGAGGTGTGGCTCAAGTGGTAGAGTGCCTGCTTTGCAAGTATGAAGCCCTGAGTTCAAATCCCAGTCCCACCAAAAAAAAAAGATAACTCACAATTTTCCTGCCTCAGTCTCCTGAGTGCTAGGATTACAGATATCAGTCACTACACCAGGCTATGAGTTCCATAGGTTTTTTTTTTTTTTACAAAGAAGTATATCTTAGCATTTTGTATCTTATGAAAATATCTTAGGGAAACTTATAAAAAGTGATAGCATTTAATTTATTTATAAAGATTTTTATAAAAAGTGGTGACACATTTTTCTCTAAGACAGTTGTCTTTCTCTGTAGAAACAGCAGCTGAAATATATTCCTGTGTTGTATTCCATTCCAACAGGGCCATATTTGTATGGTTCATTCAGGAGAAGCCATGAATGATCTGAAATTCACAGTCAGTGAGACCATGGATGTAACGATGTAAGACATCCTTACACCCGAGTTGGCTGTACTTTGAGAACACAGTTGGAAGAAAACCAGATCCAAAATGAGTCTTTCTCTCTGTCTCTCTCTCTCTCTCTCTCTTTCTCTCTCTCTCTCTTTCTCTCTCTCTTTTTGTGTGTGTATGTGTGTGAAATGAAGGAGAGAGGTTCTAGATACAGAACTGTATATATCTGCCAAGTTCTTAACCCAGACTGTGTTTCTTGACAGAAGTTTTGCAGGGGCATCCGACAGCGCAGAAGCAGAGCAAGAGGAGAACTTCTGGTCTCAAGCGCTGGAGGATTTGGAAACCTGTGGGCAATCGGGAATTCTGAGAGAACTTGAGGTAGCTTCAGCCCTGCTGCTTACTTTTATTGTTTCTACATTCATTTTTTTTTTTTTGGTCCTTTTAAGTTTGCATTGATCACACCAGTTCATTTAAAAGCTTTAACCCTTTCCACAGGAGAAAGCTGACAGGCGTGTGTCATTGAGAAACATGACTCTCTTGGTAGCTACCCTTTATGTTTATATTTTGCTTGTGAAGCTGCCTTCCCTGCCCTTTGCCTTCTGGACAGCAATTTGATTTTTAATTTTATACAATGCAGTTGAAAGTGTTATTTCCCATTCCCACCCCCAAGCTTACTGACTTGTGGCTTCTGCCATTGCTCCCTGCTAACCCTGATTGTACCTGTTCCCCCTAAATCGCTAAGGAGTGAGCAAAGTCTCCCAGCAGTGATGCATCTCATTCTCTTAGTTGCTTTAGAAAGGTTTCTTTGGCATGTTTTCATTTGTACCTGGTATAGAAATTAATTTGACCGTTAAGAGGAACATAAGAGGAAATTTGATTTTGTTTTGCCCTTAAAGTAGATGACAATGCAGCTGGTGAAAAAGGGCAGTCTACTTGATAAGCAGGCAAAAATATTACAAGGACATTGCTGTTAATTGCAAATCCTCATTCCATATTAACTTCATGTGGATTTAAGGAGGAGCAAGATGGAGTGTAACAGCTGAACTCCCGGTGAGTTCTTTAATCAAAGCCATGAATTTGCTGACGGTATTCACACTTTTAGTCTGGGAAGTCCTGGACTGTTTCCTTTTATGTTCTTTTAAATTTTTTGAGCTTTGAAAAAGAAAGTGGCAAAAGTCTCATTTTTATTTTGACGTCGTATGAGGTCCCCAGGTCACCATAAGGAATGCGAATGGCATAACTGAGTGAAACTCCTGCAATTCTAAAATGATTATTCATCTTTATATTATTTTGCTTCTCAATTGCATGTGTGGATATTTTATGTGATCCTAATGTTTGTGAACCTGCAAAGAGAATTATAAAGAAAACTGTCAGTTTGAGTTTATAAACATCACAGTACTACCTGGCATGAAATTTTAGTTTCAGAGCCCAATTGAAGGAACTGGACATGGATAAGCTTATAAAATTTTAATAAACTATGATATTAGTAATTGATTCCTTCATATAACTTTCAAAAAGAGCAGACTGCTTAAGTGCCAGCTGGTTTATTTAATCTCCTACCACCACCTATGTGTAGAATGATGTATAAAAGTAGCCCAAACTGAATAATGAGCACAATTCATGATACTTAAAACATGTCCTTGATTTTGAAAACATGTTTTTGTCCAGGCCTTTTTCATTTTATTACTTCTCTCTTGAAGAATTAACTGTTCTTCTCATAGCTTCTTTTACATTAGGCAAAACAAAGGTGATATAAAAAATAATATGATGAGGACTTGGTGCAATGGCTCAAGCCTATCATCATAGCTACTGAGCAGAGTAGGGGAGGATCTCAATTCAAGGCCACACCTAGCACAAAGTTCATGAGACCTCATCTCAACCAGTAAGAAGCTGAGTGTGATGGCATGTGCCTGTCATCCCACCCAAGTTGGAAATGTAAATAGGATGATCATTGTCCAGGCTGGCCTAGGCATAAAGTGATTCTCTATCTCAAAAATAACCAAAACAAAAAGGGCTGGTGGTATGGTTGCCTACCAAGCAGGAGGCCCTGATTCAACCCACAGTACCACCAAAAATATTGTTAAAAATAATACAATGAAATTGTGTTCACCCATAAATTGACTTATCTCGTGAAAATAATGTCTGTTAGCTTGGAAGTCATGTTGTGAATGCCTACAAATTTACTATAACATAGCTCCCATGTAGGTGTGGCCCTTGAAATTATAAATGCAGAAAGAAAATGGGCCGAATTTATAAGCCAAAGAGACATTATACTTTTATCACAAAGTGAATATTATAATTAATATTCACTTATTAGTTTAAATGAACTCCAGTCCTTTGATTGGAGATGTTGTTAGGCAAAAAATATATTGGCACTAGATTTCTGCATATAAATTTACATTTGATATTAAAAGTTAAAGGACACTTTAATAATAATAAATGCAGAGGATTAAGCTAAGATGAAAAATGATTATAACTGAAAATTCATTAATTCACTAATCATTTTCCTTATTACTAGTAATAATTTATGTTCGACTTTAGCACTGAAAAGTGTATTGCTTTATCACAGGAGAAATTCAAACTGTGACTGTGAGCAAGTTTTTAAAGTCTCTTACCAGATATTTCTTCTATAAAATATGAGAATTTTAATGAGATAATACTTAAAGGAAATTAACAAAGAACATGGCACTTAATAAATGTTCGATAAAATGCTCAATAATAATTAAGTATTGTTGTGTTTTCCATTTCTTGGTACTGCTGTAACTATTTTTGTGTTTAACATAATAGAGGAAGATTTAACCATTTGTTTCAAATTGTATTTGTGATTTACCATTATTTTCCTTTATGGATGCTACTAATTCACCTGAGCCTCACTTTAAACTTTTAAACTAGCCATATTTTAAAAGCTTGAACTAAAGAACTGTTGATAATATCTCATTTCTTCTCTTGGAACCCTTTATAAATCCATTTATAACTTCTGTGGCAGCTAGGACTCATCAAAGCACAGCTGTCATCTTCCAGATGTAGTGATTAAGTGTTTCACCTCCAACATGCTTCCTGCTAGTCCCATGAAAACAAACTAGATATAAACAAACAGATAAGTAGGTAAAAATAATAGATAGAAAGTCACCACAGCAGGAAAACAACCATTGGGTATTATCAGTTATGGGAGATCAAACACAGAAATGATGTATGTAAATGCTATAAGATAAAGGCTGTCCCATGATATCAACACAAATGGCAATGAAAAGGTCTTAAACTTCAAAAGGGTATCTATCTGAGATAAACCATAATATGGATACACTTGTTTAAATATGAGAAGCCTTTGACCTGCTAGAAATGGAAATTTTATGTAGTTCAGTTCATAGCAGACTGAGAAGCAGTGTAGACAGGTAGTCAAGGGCAGGGGTTCTGGAGCCAGATTGCTGGGGTCCCATCCCAGATGCTCAGCAAGCTGTTGGGCTCATTCAGGTTCCTCTTTCCGTACTAGAATTAGGGAGGAATAATAATTATGATACCTACCACGTAGGACCACTTGAGTATTAAGTGATATTCTACACACACTATGTATGGAACTTAGCACATGTTAATGTTCAGTAATTAGCAAGGATTTTTTTTTTTGTACCCTCAGCTCAGTTACTACCTATGTGACTTTGGGTAAGTTGGCTTCTGTGCCTCAGTCTCCTCACCTATACATTAGAAAGAATAGATTATCTACCTCATAGAGTTGTGAGGCTTAAATGAGTGAATACATTCAAAGGGCTCAATAAATTAAGCTCATTGTTTTTTTAGCATTAGTATTAACATAAACAATATTTCATGTTTTTTTTTCAGTCACATACATATGGGGCTTGTTTTCACTCCATTATTTCAAGCAGATTTACCATGCCAGTTTATCCATTTATAATCACATCCAAGAGTACAGAGCTGATTACAGTCACATTTTTAGAATTTTAGCATCCTCTAATATAAAAAATGAACATCCCCAACATAATATGGGTTTCAAATCCTTTTTTGTTCCAGTTCTGAGACTCAATCATCTCTGTGATCTAATCTTGCCATCACTTATATATTATACAGAAAATATATTTGAAACAGAACAAAATTCTCAATTCATGGGTAAAACTAAGTAAGTACGTAATTATGCGTAGCTTTTGGGCAGAATCTAATAATATAGAAAATGATTATTTTAACTGCTCCCAGTATGTTACACAAAAGCCATTTCTAAGAAACATTGATCTATGCCGAAAGACATAGACGCCTACGTGGTTTACAGGCTTCTAGGGCAGGCCACTGGCCAAAGGAAAGATAATATCCAGTGCTAGGCAGGAAGTTTGAAGAGTATCTCTTGCCTTTTTATCAATAATCCCATTCTAGACCATTGTTGGAGTGAAAGTCTGAGTCCCAGTGAGAAATTCTTAGCTCATTTCTATGAGATGTATTGAAGGTGGCCTCATGAATCACATCTCTTAGTGACCATTCAGTGGAAAGTTAATGCTTAAAATACTGTTTGCAGCAAGCAACATGTTGGAGCTTTTCAATTTGTCTCAAAACTGCTAGGGGTGGTATTTGATTAAATAAACTCAACAGCTTAAGTACTTACATTGGATTTGAGATGTGCATTATAAATGTCGCTTGTAAAGCATTTTTCAGACTTTCATAGTTCAATTAGTATGTCCATTCTCCAGCCTTTGGTTATGCCCTGAAGAGACTGTATTTTGACTTTGGTCAGAAGAATTGTGCTTAATGTTGAGCAACCAAACCCTTTCCCTATCCATGGCTTAATTGTTTCTGAAAATTGTCAATGCCACAGGCAACAATCATGTCGGGGAGCACTATGAGTTTGAATCATGAGGCTCCAACACTCCGCAGTCAGCTGGGACGACAGGCCAGCTTCCAGGAACGAAGCAGCTCTCGGCCACACTATAGCCAAACAACTCGGAGCAACACCTGCCCTCAGATGTGGGCAGGAAGTCTGTAACCCTGAGAAAAATGAAACAAGAAATAAAGGAGATCATGTCCCCAACTCCTGTGGAGCTGCACAAGGTCAGTATGTTTTCTTCTTCATCCCTAGGACAAATGCAGTAGTCATTCTGCATGGTGAGGATGCTTTGGTCTGAGAGTAGCAGTGATATCCTCCTGCATGTTTGGCCAAGGAGAGAAGCCAGAGACTTGGGTTTTTTTTGTTGTTTATTTGTTTGTTTGTTTTTCACAACAGACAAAGTCTCTGCTGTCATGGAATTTCCATTATTGTGAGACATACAGGCATAAAAAATTTTTATTGTGCTGGGTGAGGGTACATTGTGGCATTTACAAAAGTCCTTTCAATATATCAAATGTATCATACTTGAATTCACCCCCTCCACTGCTCTCCTTTACCCGCTCCCATACCTGGAAAAGTTTTAACAGGTCTCATTTTTCCATTTACATACATGTGTACACAGTATTTGCACTATATTTACTCTCCCACACCCTTTCCCTACCTCCTCCCCACTCCCACTGTCACCAACACCCCCAGGCAAGACCTGTTCTGCCTTCCTGTCAGAGACTTGGTTCTTAAAACAAGATCCCTGACTGGTTATCCTGGACAGCAGGGAAGACTGGCTTTCAAGCAATGTATTTATCAAAAAAAATGTATGTATGATCAAAATCTTACAAAAACATGAGTTTCCAATGTCATGTGGAGCTTTGATGAGTTAGTCTTATTATTCCAACCTCATTGGAAGTGGGGAAGGATTTCCTAAGCATCTACACTCATAATTTCACTGAATGGGATCAGTGGGGCTTCAGGTTCAATGTGGGAAGGCTTAATCCTCAATTACACACTTAGAGTAGATGTTTTGTCATTTAGGAGACATGAAATTCTCTTCAAGACAATAGTTAGATGTCTTGGGCCAGGACAGGGTGAGCACTGGTTCTTTCCATTTCTGACTACAATAGTTGCCTCACTTCAAAGAAGAAAGCCCACTATTGCACTCAAATCTGAATTCCAGAGCTGCTGGCGGAGTTTAGACAAGGCATACGTGACGATATTTGTAGAACCCTGGCCCAAGAACAGTAGTAGGGATGCATCTGGTTTTCCTTTATTTTTTGGTTAATATATAAAATAGTAATATTCTCAATCCTGCTGTTCATAAGAATCGAGACCCTACCTATAACTAATAATCTACTAACTAGAGATTAGTTATTCATCTCACCCTAAGAGCAGATATGAGATTGATAGGAGGTAACAGGCTACTATTCTTTTTTCCTCTAAATGCTTTGATTTCCCTAGCCTCTTCTATAAAATCTAGCTATTTATTTTGTAACTGCCAAAGATATGGTGAAAGAAAGGGTAATACAGGTTCACACATTCATACATTCATTTAAAACATATACTGTGCATTTGTTCTCTCAAAAAAAAATGTATTGCAAATTTCTGGGTGAGCACAAAGTCCAGTGGGGAGATGGTCTGGAAAACAGTGTGAAGATAATGGGATTGTTGCAATGACAGAGACAAGCCTGGGAAGACCTGGACTACAAAAAGAAGACCCTGACCCACACAGAAAAGGCTTCCTAGACATAGGCATTGACTCTGCAGAGGAAGGTGGGGTATGCGGAAGCTTTCCAAGCACAGAAAGAAGCATGTGGAAAAGGATATCAAAGACAGTGGCGCAATGATGGAATGGAAATATTCCTACATGGCCGTAGCCTAGAATTGGAGTCCTGTACATTAAGAGGAATTACAGAAATGTGAAGATATTTCTAACATTTTAGACTGAGGATCCCAGTTTGGCCCCATGCCACAAGTTAGTTGTTTAATGCAGTTATACTGAATGTATGCATCTGCCTGGTAAATCTCCTACCTCAATTCATTCATTGGCTCATGGCATTAGGCTGAAGGAACTCCCATGATTAAATTACAGAAGCCACATATTCAATGCTCTGCTGTGCTAAGAAGAGGGCTGTCCTACCTGATTCCCTTAGGGCCTATGAACACTGCCTTGCCCTCTTCTCTCAGTTTGTGCCCAGGCAGAGAAGGGTATGCCTGATGATCCAGCCTCCTCAGTCCCAAAGAGAAAGGATGCCAGCATGTATTGAGTATCTAGTAAGTGCTATCTATATATTGCATATTTTTAGCCCTCACAATAGCCCTTTTCAGCAGGTACTTATTATCCCCGTTTATAGGATAAGAAAATAACAAGTATACAATTGTCATTTTTTTTCCTTCAGGAGAGATACGTTCTCCTCAAAAGACAATTATTGATAGACCAGGAATACAAAAGACCTGTCTCCTCATCCCTCCTGCCCTGAAAGCATTCAGCAAAGATAATGACAGTGAATTGGATGTGGAAGTTGTTATAGCTGAGGTTTCAAAAATGTGGCTCTGCTAAAATATAGATCTTGTTTAAAAGAGAAAAAAAAATGTATCTTCCGCTTATTGGCATAACGAGTGGCCATGGATGGATTAGTTGGAACATTTGTGTGTCAGTGTTGAACTGGGAAGCCACAAGATCACAGATGCAGAGGGGCCAGCTTGACCTGATAAATGATGTGCTTTTTTTCTTTCACTTCAGTGGCAGAAGGGTGCATTTCCCAGGTAGTTTCACTCTTCTTCTGAATTGATCCTAACAAGTAAGACTCTCAAAAATAAGTGGTTCCCTAAGAGTATAAGACCCCCTAAATAATCTAGTTATGTGCTTATAGCCTGATACTGTGAAACTTTTGGAAGGGTTCGTACTCATATCTTGGGTATCTTCTTTTTTAAAGGGAATCAGTTTTCTGATAGGTCATCCAACATGTGTGTTGCTTAGCACTCTCTAATACTGAAGTGCTTGAGAAGAAATGATCATTAAAAAGATACTGAGCTCAGACAAAAGGCTGTTGATTATGCTATGTCTTGCATGTGGAGTGTCTTTTGAATACTGAAAGAGAGTACCTGGCGTCATGAAGAAGCAAACTGATTTGTTGATGGAACAGAGTCGTCTTTTCTCTAGGATACTGCTAGTCTGTCGTAAACTTTTGTGAAAATTAGAAAAAGACACTCTTGGGGTAGTGGCATGGAAAGAGGGCTACGGAATTGGAAAGCAACCATACCTCAAGTTGAAGACACCCAAGCTAGAGTGCCTGGCTTGGCAATCAGAACACGGGCTGCTCTTCAGTCTCCGATGCCCCTTGGCAACCTTTCCTGAAACGAGGCTAGTGGAAGAATTTCCAAGACTGCAAAGACCAGCATGTATAGGCTGGGTGAGATAAATCACACATTCTAAACGTGTGATAAGATTTTCCTGTTGCTGTCTTTCTGGAGGCCATTTGTCACTTGGTTAAAGTTTGGACCTGTTTATTCCCAGGCCAGCACCTGAAAGATCTTATCATTTTCACTAGAAGTTAGATCAAGATAACATGAATGAACAGAGAAGGATTCATTCCATTACTGGGGGAAAAAAAAGCTAAAATTGTCCATCTCCTAAGGGTGGGTCACTAACATCACCTTGAAACAGAAAGAATGAAGTATTGGCTTACCTGCCAGTTTCTTGTGTCTCAGTGTACTCTCCATTGTTTGCTCCTCATTTTCTATCCATGCCTTCCTCCATTCTTTTTCTTCCTACAAACCCTTGGAAGATCCCAAGCTCTAAATGGTTTTCATTCATTTCCTATCATCTACTATGTCTGAGGCTCCCCAGGGAGCAGTCTTTCCTTCAAGTTTTCCACATTCTTTCCTAAAGGCAAAAAAGTAGTTGTCATTCCTGACCGTTAGGAACAAAGAAACTCAGCCTTGCTTCCTTTTCTGGCTGTGTAGAAGTGGAAATTAGAGCTGGGGTGATTTGGCACTTAGCAAGAGGGTGGGAGGAAGAGTGAAGGGTCCAGGAAGTGATGCTAACTCCCCTAAGACCACTGCTTTTCCAACTTCTCAGCTCAGGTCTGCAATCTGAAATATATTGCACTCATAAAGTCAATACATACATACACCTAACACTCATACATGGATGAATCCAAAAACTTGTTACACAAAATACATTGACTGTTTTTCTATTTCTTTTCAAATGCTGATTGCCTGAAATTGATTTCAAGACTTCTGAATAGGTCTCAACCAACAGTTTCAGGACTACTGCCTTAGACAGTAGATGGGTTGTGGACCCCTGATCTTTCACCATAGGATGCTTTTTAAAATGCAGGCTCCTGCCTGCACCAGTAGCTCACATCTGTAATCCTAGCTACTCAGGAAGATCAGGAGATCAGGAGGATCACAGTTCAAAGCCAGCCTGGGAAAATAGTTCATGAGATCCTATCTCAAAAAGCCCTTCACAAAAATAGGGCTGGTGGAGTAGCTCAAGGTGAAGGCCCCGAGTTCATGCCCCAGTACCGCAAAAAAAAAAAAAAATACAGGGTGCCATGCTCCACTCAGACTTACCAGCATTTTCTGGGAGTGTGGAACAAGAGCCTACATTTAGCAGCCCTTTCAGTGACTCCATTGCAGACTAGAGATTGAGAACCACCCCCCACACCCCCCACACACAGGTTTTGCTAGTTGCAGGCAGGTGATTATTCTGTTTCAGTGAAATCATAGGCAACAACAGGCTGGCAGGCTGAAGAGGAAAAAAGGCTGCATCTTGGGCCCTGGAGCTTCTGCATTTTATCTTTTAAATGAATTCTGTTTTGTACTACAGCTTATCACACATTCTTTCTCTCTGCAGATAAGAAGCTTGTGATCTTAGCTACACTTCATTGATAACCCTTCTTTCCCTTCTGAAACTTAAATACCCTTTGGTGTCCACTTAATCTAGTTCTGAGATGAATTCTAGCTTCACTTCCTTGCACACCTTAATGCAAAAAAAATCTTTTGTACAGTGGAAAATTTCCCACATTGACAGCATTTGAACTTTACAGAAAAATCATATTGACATTCCCTTTATCCCTGTCATTCATGATTTTCAATAAAATTGTACTTCTTAATTATATGCAGCGAAGCTATTTTTATTTATCTTTTTACAGAAAGGCTTTTAAGATAATTTTCCAGTGCTTACCTTTATTTACAGCTGCTGCTGGTACTCAATGCTAGAACATGT